ACCCATGCATCACGATGAAGAGTAGCCCCTACTCACAACTAGAGAAAATCCGTGTGCAGCAAGGAAGACCCACTACAGCCAAAAATAATTTTTTTTTTTTAATGTAACCTTGACTCTACGTCAACATCAAGTGCAGATGCCACCTCTTTGCTACAGCCTCCCCTACTCACAACTAGAGAAAATCCGTGTGCAGCAAGGAAGACCCACTACAGCCAAAAATAATTTTTTTTTTTTAATGTAACCTTGACTCTACGTCAACATCAAGTGCAGATGCCACCTCTTTGCTACAGCCTTTCCTGACCTGGACATAAGCAATCTTTCCCGTAAGCACCTTTGCTTCTTGGGTTGTAGAAAAGGCTAAAAAAAAAAAAGTGTACACAGCACCATTATGGTACTTTTAGGGTTCATCTAAATTAAGAACCCTAGACTGGAGATGCCACAGCAAACGTCAGAGGGAGGCTTAAAGACACTGCTGGGAAAGATGCTCTTGTATCCACTCCATTTCACTAGGAAAAAAGGCATAGGTATGTGGACAATATGGTGCAGTCTGATTCAGATACACCTAGGTTCCAAGGTAGCCACTTAGCTCTGTGGCCAGGGCCAACTTATTGAACTTTCTAGGCCACGGTTTTCAGCCACTAGATTGGGGCGCTGTGGGGAGAGGCTAAAAGTAAAACAAGATGGCGTCTCAGGCTCTTAATATATAGAATTCACTAAAAGGGGAAAAAAGACAACTGTGAGGTTGGTTTTTCCTACTAGCCTGTGAACTCTGAGAAGGCCAAATAAACGCTGATCCAGTGGACACAGCTCAGAAGGCCCACCCCCGAGATCAACTTTACGCCACGAGGGCGACAGCCTTTCCCGGTGGTGGAGCTTAACCTGACGTGGCGGGGCGGGACTTCCGGGAGGAGGCGGAAGCCGAGCTCTAGGCACCGGCGGGCAGAGGCGGCTGACACATCGGTGGTCGCCCCCGGCGCCGCTCAAGGCTAGCAGGCAAAGCAAGCCCGGGCTCTGTTGCCATCTTCCCGGGTCCCCGCGACGACGATTTCTGTGCAAGGATGGCTCGGGGCGAGCGGCGGCGCCGCGGAGCGCCGGCAGACGGAGCGCGCACGGCAGAGAGGGCGACTCGGGGAGGCCCCGCACGGCGGGATGGCCTGGGCGGCAGGGCTGGGGGCGCAGCTCTGGCCGTAGTGGTCCTGTCTCTGGCCCTGGGCCTGTCCGGTCGCTGGCTTCTGGCGTGGTACCGTGCGCGGCGGGCTGTCATGTTGCACTCCGCGCCGCCGGCGCTGCCTCCCGACTCTTCCAGCCCTGCCGTGGCTCCGGACCTCTTCTGGGGCACCTACCGCCCTCACGTCTACTTCGGCATGAAGACCCGAAGCCCGCAGCCCCTCCTCACCGGTAACGTGGACCCGGGGCGGGCAGGCAGGCGGGCATTTAATCTGGGAGCCCCAGCTTCGCGCCAGATCAAGGGTGGTGAGGAGTGGTTCAGCAGAGTTATGAGGAGGGATGACCCTAAAGTAATCGGCGACCCAGAGGGACAAGAGCTCTCTGACTTACGTGGCCATTCTACCCCCAGGACTGATGTGGGCGCAGCAAGGCACCACCCCAGGGACCCCTAAGCTCAGGCACACGTGTGAGCAAGGGGACGGCGTGGGTCCCTATGGCTGGGAGTTCCACGACGGTGTCTCCTTCGGGCGGCAACACATCCAGGATGGGGCCTTAAGGCTCACCACTGAGTTCGTCAAGAGGCCTGGGGGTCAGCACGGAGGGGACTGGAGCTGGAGAGTGACTGTAGAGCCTCAGGTCAGGGCCCTCAGGACACCCCTCCCCCAGTCCAGCCTTCCTCCACCCTTTCTTTGCCGCCTGCAAATGCAGGATAAAGCGGGGGTAAACAGAAGGGGCTCTGAGTTTGCTCCTTGCCTTAAACACTTGCCTGTATGACCATCTCTTTTTTCTGAGCCTTGGTTTTCTTGTCTGTAAGCTGTAAATAAAAATAGCACCTAATTCACAGAATTGTTAAGGATCAAAGGAAATACCAGTAATATGTAGAGTTCGCACAGTACATGGCACAGAAGTACTATTATTTCCCAGAGCTGCGCATAGCTCTTTATCCCACTGGTGCTTCCTCTCAGTGACCCTTGACAGTGCTAGATGTATGTTGTTCTCCCCTGCCGTCCCCCTCCCTAAGGCTGCTTTTCAGGGGAAGGCCTGCTAACCTCATGCTGTGTTTTTCTCTCCGCATTGGCCACCCAGGCCTCAGGGACCTCTGCCCGCCCTCTGGTGTCCCTGTTCTTCTATGTGGTAACAGACGGCAAAGAAGTCCTTGTGCCAGAGGTTGGGTCTAAGGGGCAGTTGAAGTTCATCAGTGGGCACACCAGTGAGCTTGGTGACTTCCGCTTTACACTTCTGGCACCAACCAGTCCAGGAGATACCACCCCCAAGTATGGCAGGTAACTGGGGGAAGAGCGTATGGGATGGTGGGAGGGGTGGTATGGATGCTGACTTAGTCTGATTTTCATCTCCTCAACCCTACCCTCTTTTCACCAGGCATTTCCCTTCTCACTTGGCCCCGTGTTCTCTGCATTGCCAAGACCCTCCCATCCTGACTCCTCATCACCTCGTTTCTCTTTATAGTCCTCACTGCTTCCTCCTGCATAATATTTCCTGTTTATCTTCTTCTTTTCAAGCTACAATGTCTTCTGGTCCTCCAACCCAGGACTTCCCTTGCTGACAGAGATGGTGAAGAGTCGCCTAAATCACTGGTTTCAGCATCGGCCCCCCGGGGCTCCCCCTGAACGCTACCTCGGCTTGCCAGGATCTCTGAAGTGGGACGACAGAGGCCCGAGTGGGCAAGGACAGGGACAAGGGCAGTTTTTGATACAACAGGTGACACTGAAAGTCCCCTTTTCTGTGGAGTTGGTGTTTGAATCAGGCAGTGCCCGGACAGGAGGCAGCCAAGCCCCAGAGCAGCTGGCAGGCAGCCTGCTGACCCACACCCTGGAAAGCCATGCTGAAGCCTTTAGAGAGCGCTTTGAAAAGACCTTCCGGCTAAAGGAGAAGGGCCTGAGCCCTGAGGAGCAGGCTTTGGGTCAGGCTGCCCTCAGTGGCCTTCTTGGTGGGATCGGCTACTTCTATGGACAGGGTCTGGTGTTGCCAGACATGGAGGTTGAGGGGTCTGAGCAGAAGGTGGACCCAGTCCTCTTTCCATCTGTCCCTCTTTTCACAGCAGTGCCCTCTCGGTCATTCTTCCCAAGAGGCTTCCTTTGGGATGAGGGCTTTCACCAGCTGGTGATCCAACGGTGGGATCCCCGGCTCACCCGGGAAGCCATAGGCCACTGGCTGGGGCTGCTTAATGCCGACGGTTGGATTGGGCGGGAGCAGGTGCTGGGGGATGAGGCCCGAGCCCGGGTGCCCTCAGAGTTCCTGGTGCAAAGGACAGCCCATGCCAACCCTCCAACTCTGCTTTTGCCTGTAGCCCACATGCTAGACGGTGGTGACCCTGCCGACTTGGCCTTCCTCCGCAGGGCCTTCCCTCGCCTGCGTGCCTGGTTCTCCTGGCTTCATCACAGCCAGGCAGGGCCAGTGCCACTATCTTACCGCTGGCGCGGCCGGGACCCAGCCTTGCCAACCCTACTAAACCCCAAGACGCTGCCTTCGGGCCTGGATGACTACCCCCGGGCTTCACACCCTTCGGCCAGTGAGCGGCACCTGGATCTGTGGTGCTGGGTGGCCCTAGGTTCCCGTGTGCTGATGCGGCTAGCCAAGCAGTTGGGAGAGGCTGAGGCGGCTGCAGAGCTGGGCCCGCTGGCTGCCTCCCTGGAAGCAGAGGAAAGCCTGGATGAGCTGCACTGGGCCCCAGAGCTGGGAGTCTTTGCAGACTTTGGGAACCATACAAAAGCGGTGCAGCTGAAGCCTCGGCCCCCTCAGGGGCTGATGCGGGTGGTGGGCCGGCCCCACCCTCACTTACAGTTTGTGGATGCCCTGGGCTACGTCAGTCTTTTCCCCTTTCTGCTGCAGCTGCTGGACCCCAATTCACCTCGCCTTGGACCCATGCTGGATGTTCTAGCTGATCGGCGTCAACTCTGGAGCCCCTTTGGTTTGCGCTCTCTTGCAGCGTCCAGCCCCTTTTACAACCAGCGCAATTCAGAGCATGATCCTCCCTACTGGCGAGGGGCTGTGTGGCTCAATGTCAACTACCTGGCACTGGGGGCTCTGCACTACTATGGGCATCTGGAGGGTCCCCACCAGGCCCGTGCTGCCAGGCTCCACAGAGAGCTCCGCGCCAATCTGGTGGGCAATGTGAGACGGCAGTACCAGGCCACAGGCTTCCTGTGGGAGCAGTACAGTGACCAGGACGGGCGAGGCATGGGCTGCCGCCCTTTCCAGGGCTGGACCAGCCTTGTCCTACTGGCCATGGCTGAAGACTACTGAAGGGGGAGCGTGGGAGAAGCCAGCCCGCTTACTCCATTCTGGACTAGAGGGACAGGTCTCTCACTTCTGCCCCTAGCTGTCAGATACCAGTGCTTCAAACCCTCCTCAGCTCATCTCAGGTGTCTTCTAAACGACATCCCACATAGCCCTGGGGTGAATGTGAATTCAGAGTCTATTTTTCTAAATAAATGGGAAAACCATGCCAGACTCCATTGCTTTTGCCAGCTTTGCCTCAGCAAGAGGTCTTAACTCAGTCCAGGCCTTAGGGCTGCTCTCCTTCAGAGAAGGTGGGGCCCTGCCAAACCTAGTCAGGTCAAGTGCAATGCAGTCAGCCGAGCACTAGTCCACCCAAATCCACAAGCAGCTGCTTCATATCTCTTTAATGAGATCAAAGGCTCCTGGGTATGTCTTGGGGGATAGAGCTCGCACAGTCCCCCAAACACCGCCCTTCTCCTCAGGACTCCAGCCTTTTCAGATTCTAGAAGGGCAGGGAGAGGCCGAGAACCCAGGGAGTTGGGAACAGGGCTTTCTGGTGGGCAGGTAACCCACCCCACGCCTCCCAAAATTGCTTATGGGATGTCCCCTTCACTGGAAGCCAGCCCCGCAGGAGAGACTTGGGGTGCTGGATTTAGGGGCCGTGCACAAGGGGACTGGTCCTCCACCTCTCGTAGGGTGGCACTAACCCTAGCCTCCTTGACTGGCTCACCCTCACTGGAGTCAGGACAAGGGCAGAGCTCAATACCTGAGTCACCAGTCAGGCGGCGATAGCGGCAGGAGGGGGGTGTGGGGGCAGGGCTCACTCCTGCCCCAAGCTCACCCTCCTGATGAGGAGGGGCACTCTGGTGGGAGGAAACATCTTCCACATTTGTTCCCTCATGGTGGGCAGGACAGCTGGAAGCGGAGGAGCAGCAGGTGCATTGACTGGAAGCCGTCGAGGGGCAGCCTGTGGCTGCAGTGTAAGGAGGCGGTGGTGTGCCTGGGCGGTGAACCACATCCTCATAGGCTGGGGGTTTGAAGGCGCTGAGGAGGCCTGCAGGAAAGAATGGTATGGTTGATAGAAGGCAACCAGGGGTGGGGTGGTGGTGTCTTTCCTATGAGGGAAAGTGTACTTTGAAATCTCTGAAAAGGGAGTGTGGAATGAAGCAAACCTCCTGGTTTGGGAGGGACCACTGCGAGGCCAGAGCCTCAAGTCACTCACGAAGGTCAAGCAGTGAGCCAGCAGGGACAGGGCCAGCCCCATGGCATGCCCCATGGTAGGCCAACAAGTTGATCTCACGCTGCCGCTGCTGCTGCTGCAGCCGGAGTTTAGCTCGTCGATGGCGGAAGGCGCAACAGCAGCTAAAGAGAATGAGGACAGTCCAGAGCAGCCAGAACCCTGCAGGAGGCGAGGAGGAAGAGACTTAGATACCTCCTATGCAGAGAAGGGTCCTTGAAGGCTGAAGTCCAAAGGCGGGTGGGCAGAAGAACAAAAGAGCCCCCGTGAAGACTCACACCAGAGCTCATAGTAGTACGTGCAGCAGCCAGTCTCCCCACAGCAGTGACCACTCTCACAGAGGTAGGGCTGGTTGTTCACTCCTGGGCACAGCTCTCGAAGCTGGGAGCAAGGAAGCGCTTAAAACCAAGGGAGATTCCAGTCCAAGGCACTGTCCACCCCCACCCCCTGCATACACATACATGAGCCCATCCTGTGTGCCAAGTTAGCTCAGAAATCTATGGGGAGAGGAAAAAGTGATACTGAGAGTGTTCAAATATCTGAAGGGCTGCTAGCATGGAAGAGGATTTGGAATAGCAAGAATCAGTCTAGAGACTAAGATGCAAGGTGTGGGCATACAAAAAGGCAGATTTCAGCTCTGCATATAGGAGACTTCTCTCACATTCAAGCCTGGCTCCCAAGGGTGTTTAATGTTAAGGGAGTGTTTTGGCAGAAGTCAGAAGACTGGGCTATCGCAAAGTCTCAGACAATGGGTAAGGAGTTTAGGTAATTTCCAAAGCTGTTTTCATTATCATTCCCTGTGGTCTGCCAATCCCCACTCCTAAGCTGGATCTTTCCACCCCTGGGTCTCAGGCTTCCTAGGGTAGAGGAGGAGCAATATGAGACCCAGAGCAGGGTTCCCAACCAGATGGGATTGCTGTGGATGATAAAGGATGGCATCCACGGCGTGATTCTGGGTTCCATCTCTTCTCCAAATTGCTCCCTCAAGAGAAGACGCTGCCAGACTCTGTTGTGACAATAGGCACATAGAAAAACATCACAAATAATTGTTGCAAGACAGAAGGAACCTCCCTGGGGCCTCACTATGCCTCTGGTCACTGGAGAGCCACTGCAAGCTTCCACTGCAGCTAATGGGATCTATGAAGCTGCAGGCAAAAGTCAACAGCACCTACATTACAAAGTTTACACAGAGTAGAAGGACCATATCTAGGAATTTCACAGTACCTTTGGCTCCGAGAGTTCCTCCGCCACCCGCCAAAAGGCGGGGGCAAGGAATGGGGAAGGAGAAATAAATGGCTGTCGTGATAGGCTTTTGGAGCTGTTGGGATACCTGCTGTTGCCGCACCCGAAGTGCCCCCCAGGCCTCCTCGCTGCCGTTCCCGCCGGTAGCCCGAGCCATGCCTCCACCTACAGCTCCCTGAAGACCACAGTCTCCTCTACCGCCAGCTGCCCCGCCCCTGCCATCTCTGCCTCCACCGCCATGGTCCCTGCCCGGCCCATCTTCGCTGCCGCCACCATCACTCTGCGACCGGACCTTCCATCCAGCGAGAGCTCTGCCAACTAGCACCCAGGTTCTTCCGTCCCACCAATCCGCATCACCCTCGGACAGATGGGCCAATAGGAAAGATCACAGGCTTCTCCCTGTGACCAATCTACAGCAGCACGTCCGCCACTCTCCCAGACAACAGGAGCTTGCACAGACAAAAGAGTGGGGAAGGTTCGACCCACGGCTGTGACTGACAGCGACAACAGCCAATATGGACAACAGAACACGGTTTGCGTTATCAACCAATGAACGGCCGCCCGGGACAGCAAAGTTCCCGCTGACTGGCTTGAGCCCTATTTTCTGGATGACGCCAAACGCTTGACCACGCCAGGTAATCCCAGTAGGAGCGGCGGAGTCCCGAGAGTCTGCTGGAGTCTGGGTGGGCGCGGACCGGCTGCCATTCTAGGGCCTGGTGGACGTTTCCCGGCACCAATGCAAGCAGCGGGCGGGGGGAAGGGGGCAAGCTGTGTGTATGGGGAATTGGCCTACCCACACTCCATCCCCCCAATTCTGTACAAGTCAAGGCACAGGATGAAATTTAATAAAATGGGGGACACTGAAAACAAGGGGCAGAGGAGAAGGCTCAGAGTCCAGGTTGGATGAGGGCCTTAAGTAGCCAGAAGTGGGGACCCGGGGCCCTCAGGCCCACCTAGCCGCATCTGCAAATTGATGCGGTAGCACTGAAGGCTGCAGAGTGCCTGGCCCGTGCGCGAGCAGGCATACCGGCGCGGATGGGGACAGCCGGGGACAGAGCATCGAGGAGGCGGGCCAGATGGGGATGGCCGCTGAGACACAGGCACGGGGGCAGGGACGCCAGGCGGGAAGGAAAGGGTGGAACCCTGTGCCCCACTGCTGTAGCGCACCATGGGGGCTGGGGCCACGGCCCGCCCTCCCCGCCGCTCGCCCCGTGAGGCCCCTCGGCCTCCCCGCCCACTGGGCGCCGCAGTCTTGGTGAGGCGCTCAATAGTCTGGTTCTTGTGCTCCTCGGCCCGCCGAGCTGCCTGCAGCCGCCTCTTCCGTGCCCGCTCCTCACGCTTCAGCAGCATTTCTTCGGTGAGAGCGGGGGCCGGACAGCCCCCAGCCACAGGTAGTGACAGCATCGGGGAAGGCTGACTTCGAGCCTTCTGCAGCAGAGCTCGCTAGGGAGATACGGAGATGTCAGCAAATAGAGAAGTGAGTTCCCCCAGAAGAGGGAGGGGGAGTGGGGACAAGGAAAGCAGGGTCTTGAGGAGCAGGCCTTGAGAAAAAGAGTCCAATGAGCACAGTCTCCAGGAGCCTTTCATACTGCCTCCTCTCAGGTCTCCAGACTTTCAGCTTTAGATCCTTGACCCTCAAGGACAAATGCTTTAGTAACGTTACCTTCCTGCCCTGAGTCCCAAAACTCTGTACTAGTTGTCTGGAGGCCTTTTTGTTGTTTTCAATCTTTGAATCCCAATGGATAGCATCAACTGGATAATTGCTCAAGTCAAAAAGTCAGGGTTATCCTTGATTCCTTCCTTCCCCCAACAAGTGTCTGTTTCCTAAATATATCTAGAATCCGTCTGGTTTCTCCAACTCATTTCACCTTGGTTCAAGCCACCACCATCTCTTACCTGACTACTTCAATAGCTTCCTATCTGGTCTTGTTTCTATCGTTTACCACCACTAAGAAACCAAAGTAATCTACTGAAATATAAACCAAACATATCACTTCTCTGCATACCACCTTTTTGTCATAGTCACATTTATTCTTCTGCTTGACCGTGATTAGGCATGTTCTGCTCTCAGGGTCTTTGCCCTTGCTGGTCTCTCTGCCTGGAAAGCTTCCCTGGTATTGGAAACATGTTTTTAGAGAGGTCTCTCCAGACTGCCCTATCTAATGTTGTTTGTTTTCTACTTTCTATTTCATCACCCAGTTTTTCAAAATTATTTACTACACAATACTAGCTCCATGAGGACAGAAACCTTGTCTGTCTTTTCTCCACTGCTGATATCCCTGCTGCCTTGCAAAGTCCTCCAGACAGGGAAAGTTCTCAGTATCAATTTGGCAAACGAATAAAGAATGAACCTACTTACCTGTCGAGCAGTGAGCAGCCGTTCATTGATCTCCTTCTTGAGATCTCCATTATCATCCAGCTCCCCCTTCTCCAAGGCATCCAGCCACCTCTGTTCTTCCTCTTCCTCCTGCCCTCCTAACCCTCCGGACAGGTCCCGCAGTGGGGAGGGGGACAGATTACTGTCTTCATCTGGAAAGTAAAGTTGGAGAGCTAAAAGTAGAATTGTTCAGATTGGGAACCTTAATTTGTCCAAGTTAATACTGGGACACGCAAAATTCTCACCTTCCTCAGAAAGAACCCTCTTCCCTTAACCAGGTATAATGAGAAACCCAGCTTCCCCACCTCTAGATCCTTCTCACCCAGCCAGGCACGGTACTGCTCAAGGGGGACTCCTTCCACAGGTTCCTCTTCATTGTCCACAACCATAAGGGGAGATGGTGAGCGAGGACCTTCAGGGATCACAGTGAAGGTAGGAACACTGCAGAGAAGCAACCACCCTGTAAGCTGAGCAAGTGTCTCCTGCTCAGTACATCGTCTTCCCTACGCCCTCTTGGGTTCTAGCTACATTAACCTGGGCCCTGAAGTCACAGCATCCATTCTCTGTCTTCTGAAAACTGCAGCCAGTTTCTCCTTCTGTCTCTGCCTGCTTCTAAAGTCCCTCAAGTAAAACCTTGGCTCTCTTGGCCTTACCTCTTGGTGCCCAAGACCTGCCCGCCCAACTTGATTTTGAGTTTGAGCTGGGGCTTGGCAGGAGACGGCTGCGTTGGCCCAACCTCCTCTTCCTGGTAGTGTTTTTTCTTGTGTTTCTTCTTGTGTTTCTTGTGCTTTTTCTTGTGCACTCCGTGGCCGTGGGCACCCGCCAGACTCAACTCCAGGGCTTCCCCTGCAGAAGGAGAGCCTGTCAAAGATGTATGGGAGCGGGGCAAGAAAAGCCCAGTACCCCCGAAGGGTCCTATAGTCCCCGCAGTATTCTGGTATTACCATAACAAAAGCCCCGCCTTTTTGCTTCCCACCTGTGGCGAAGTACCCGGGGGAAGCTCAAAGGATCAAGAAAGAGACTGCTTTTATGCGAAGGCCTAACTTGCCTTATAGATCCACGCTTACCAGGCTCAGGGGCCTCCATAGCCCCAGAGGTGCTCCCGCGCCGCCACAGCTTACTCATGGGGCCCTGCAAGGAAAGGGGGCTGTAAATAGTCGAAACACGTTCAGACATACCTTTTCCGCCCCGCGGAAGAACCTATCCCAGCAAATCACCGGGTACTTCCGGTGCATAGGAACCATGTTTGTGCGGGGCACGCTTTGCGACTAAAATCCTCCGGGAGAAACAAGGGTCCTTCCAACAATAGTCCCTGCCTCTTTGAGGCCGGGAGGGTTTTCCGCTCTCTCCGCAGCCCCACAATCGGTATACAAACTCAGCGCCGGAGATTCAATTATTATTACACGCAAGCGTTTTGAACGTATCTATATGTTCCGGGACCAAATTCGGGGCTAGGCTATGATAATACAAAGATAAATATGAATACTCCTCTCTGCCTTTGAGGAGCTTACCGTTTTGTGGAGGAGCACTTAACAAACTATTTGCCAGCAAAATGAAGAAGGGCTTAACAGCACAAGTTACAAGGAGGGCAGACGGTATTTAAGCCTCAATTCTTTATCGGTAGAGACGTGGATAGGTGAATTATGGTACAAGCTAAGAGTTAATCGGTGATTGATAAAGATAGACGTGGGATTTAGATCCTAGTGGGTAATAGTATTGGAAACAATCTAAAGAAAAACCAAAATAATTTGGTACAGGGATTTGATACACCATAGTGGGAAGCTGTGGTGCTATTAAAAGAAGTGGGTCCCCAGAAGGTGACCCAAGAAATTAGTGACAGCGGTTCCAATGGATGGTTGGGAGAACAAGGGTGAAGGGAGACTTATTCTTCATAATATACCCTTTTGTGCCTTTTGAACTTTGTATAAAACGTGTGTAAGATAATCCATGTCTCAGTGGTAAAGAATTCACCAGCCAGTGCAGGAGATGTAGGAGACTTGGGTTCCATCCCTGAGTTGGGAAGGTCCCCTGGAGGATGAAATGGCAACCCACTTCAGTATTCTTGCCTGGAAAATTCCACCGATAGAGAAACCTGATGGGCTGGAGTCCATGAGGTCACAAAGAGTCAGACTGGACTGAGCACATTTTATGAGACTGACGCGCTACCCACTGCCATAACGAGGCACCTGTGATTCCATTTTTAAAAGCATAATATGCTACTACATTCGTAGAAGAAACTAAGGAATGTATACTAAACGGTTAATGGTGATTATCCTTGAACCTTGGAGTTGGGGGACTTGCACTATCCAGATCTGTAGTGAGTTTTCTTTCCTTTTTTTCTTCTTTTAAAATATTCCTTAGTATTTTGTGTAATGAATTTTCTTACAGCCAATATATATCACATTTATAATTAGAAAAAAGCACTATACATGTGTATACATGTAGTGTGTACATGGGATACATGTCTGAACAGAGTAGTGAACAAAGTAAGGGAAGAACTGACTCAAGAAACATTTCATTAATGAAATTTAAAGAAACTGATGAACAACTGTATGTGAGAATTCAGGAAGAAATCAGTATAGTGATTAAGAGAATGAACTTTGGAGTCAGACAAGCCTATTATCAAATTCTAGTTTATTGGCTATGTAAAGGCAGAGGAATCAGAGATCAAATTGCCAACATCCGCTGGATCATCGAAAAAGCAAGAGAGTTCCAAAAAGACATCTATTTCTGCTTTATTGACTATGCCAAAGCCTTTGACTGTGTGGATCACAATAAAC